GCTTAAGGTCTGCCTAAAGGCAATGAATGAATGACATAACCTGTCGCCCTTCGTCCTGATTATTTTTGAATGCAAGAGGGCAAACAATACGGCGCGCTGACATGCAATTCTGTGCTGTACACAAAAATGAAATCCGATTAAATTGAAAAACAGAATGTGCAACATGACGATTCATGGAAACGGATGCGCATAGGCGAACACACTGGGTCTGTGTCGAATAACTGAGGGAGAGAATTATTAAGAGCTCTCAATTATCCGGCAAGTATTAAGACAATTATCCAAATTAGAAAGAGAGTACTATATTAAGGTATTTTTCACTTTTTGTTGACAAATTAAGTAATAACCCTAAATAACTATTTTAATATATCTGTGAAACTTACAAATGAAATTCAAAGAAAGAAATGAAGATGCTGATAGAAAAATACATTTACGACATATGATAACGAAAGACACGTTTGGTTTTGGTATTATTTTATTGGTTTAAGATCATGTGATTTACTATTTGATCATTTCATGCTTTTGATTTTGTTATAACTTACTTTGTTTCATAATTATCATTTATGACGTAACGTAATTACGTTCCTAATTTGTCAATTTAATGCTGTAAATGTTTTCTTTTTCAAAAAAAAGTATTGCATTTCAAAAAAGAAAAAACATTTTTAAATATAATTCTCGAATTTTTCGGAGTTAATGGATAAAGTTTGCTGAATCCAACAAATTAATCGACAAGATTTTACTTAATATTTTATTAAGAAAATTATTACTAATGATATTTACATTATTTTTATTTTTATGAAATAATCTTAATTTTATATAAAGTAGGAAAAACTCTGATAAATAATGTTATATAAATTATTTCTAATTTTTAAATCTGCTCAATAATACTTGCGATAATCTGGAGAAAATTTTTGATAATGGTTTTAGTAGCATTGATTTAGATCAGGATTTCTTAATCTTTTTAGTGACCGACACCTCCTTGAATCTCAAAATTCTCAAAATAAGGTCTCACACCCCTTTAAAATTGTGTTCCGATGTTTTGTTATGAAATTCGAATGAGCCCAAAGTGGTAAAGGTACTGTACAGAGAGTGCGGATCCCGGACATCGCCAGGACTCTGAGTGTACTGTGTACTCAGAATTAATATATCGTTGGTTCTGAGAGTACTGTACATAATACACTACAGTCAAATTTTTATAACAGCTTAAATTTTAGTATTACACATCTAAATGTTAAAAACCTATCGTTACCACTCGGACCCTTGGAAATACTTTCTTGCATCTCCAGGGGTGCACGCACCCCAGGATAAGAAGCACTGATTTAGATATAGGCTACAATGGAATATATAACTTATTTTATTAGCCGTACTATGTATCATTATTTAATAATGAAATTAATGTATATTAATTTCATTTAATAAATTAATATAAATCTTACAAAACAGATGAAATAAGTTATGCTGAAGACAGTAGCCCATTTGTTTCCAATAAACATTGATCAAATCTCAAATTACATATAATAGATGTGTTTTATGCTGCAATTAATAATCATTATTATTTCTGGAGAAGTTTTCATTTATTATTACTTTTAGTATATGTAATTATTTAAAATACTTTCAAATAAAGCATTTAAATAAGCATAACAGAGTAATTTTTAAATAGAATTATTTTAATCAGTTCATTTTCTTTGTTCTGTTTTTTTTAAAAAAAGCTCGAATAATTTTCACTATGTTCTCTGCTTTCGATATAGCTTATGTATTTTTTAAATTATAGATTTTTGAATTAATAGATTAGTAAATTGTTTAATTAATAAAAACTTTTTTTATTTCACCGTTAATCGTAATAAACACAGATTTTAATGTAGTAATTATATTTTTAATGTTTCATCAACGCTTAGACATTAAAACAATAAATTTATTGCTATAAAAAAGTGAAATTAGCATTTTCTCAATAAAAAAATGAATTTGTTATTTGTACAGTACAGCTTATTCGATTCGGAAATAAACACTGAAAATAATATCGAAAAGGATCGTTTATAAACTACAAAACACTATTTTTATAATTCCAACTACCATTCCACCCCTCTGTAACGCTTCGTAACGCCGTTAATCAACCCCTTAATTACACTACGGAATAATTTCAGCACGAGGTACTGAACGTCACATTATTTTATTAATTACATATATAACGTACAGTACAGTACAATGCAGTGACGAGCAGCATGGTTCGCTTTGCAGCACTTCAGAAACAAAAATGAATCATTCCGTTACCCAAGGGTTGATAAGAGCATCTGTGAGTGATAGGCCTATCACTGAAGTGCCTTCTTTACATTCATCTGTAGCTTCCATACCAGCTGTATCTATGTATTCCTCGTTAATTAATTCATAATCTTCCATTCTTTCAGAAAATTTCATCAAACACGTAAGATCCCACGTAGAGGAGGCTACACGCTGATATAGTTTCTTTTAAATTAAAAACTTCTGTTTACTTTTGTGTGCGTTTCTTAACGAAACTTATTGCCAAATCTGAGAAGTTGTCACCATTTGACGAAAAATTAACGATAGCTTTATATCTACATATTAAACTAACAACAGTCGATTTAAAGAACCTAGCATTAAGTAACGTTTTTTTTGTTAACCTTCCCCACCCCCTTGCAACTCATCATAACGAGTACTGTACTTACCTATCCACACATTAATGCTTGTGTTACGTAATTTATAGGCAGCCCAAAATATCATCTATTTAAGTGACAGTTTTAAAGAAACGACTAAGTATAGGCCTAAATCGTTTGCTAAATAGATATTTTTTGTGTTATCATTAAACTATAAAAATAAAAACATGATTATATGAATATAATTAAACATTACAGGCCGATTTAATACCGAAAATTTAATTTGGAATATCCTTCGACCATCGACTATACAAAACCCAGATCAGTTTATAGCAGTAAACTCTTAATTTATAAAACTGAATAAAAGTATTTAGTCCTAATTAAGATAAATATCATTAAATAAATAAAAATATTTCAATTTGTAGTCTTTTATTCCAATTCTTTTTTCATTAGAAACATCTTATTCACGGCTACTTAATCTAAAAACTATTAAAATTTGTTTATAAAGCCGTATTATATTTGATTTATAAATGAATATTCAATTACTTGAATGTTTAGATCTAAAAGGCAATAAAGAAGAAAAATATTCAGTAATTGTAAATAATATTAAAAATTCCATGGAATTTCATGATAAATTTTGCTTAATTTTAATTCATTGATTTATTCAATTACAATAAATTTTTATTAAAAACGAAAAGTTTTGATCGATTAATCCTACTTCGACTATTTTTAGAGTAAATAAAAAATGAATATTGAAAAAATTAAACCTAGTTTTGTTATTTATTTAGCTATTTTTAGATAATAAAAAAAAAAGCTATCGTGTACTGTACCATTCGTTCGTACGTTCATCCCATCTTCGTCTATCCCCTTTCCTATTGATATCTGTAAAAAAATAAAAGAACTGAGCAAGTGAAGCTCTGTATTAGACAGTCTCCTCGCATAGTTACGCATCAAATGAGACATTTTCTTCAATTCTAAATAAATAAAATTTCCACATTCTCTTACAATTTCCGATAAAGGTAGAATTTTGAAGTTATTCTGTCTCTTCTTTCTTAAAAGAGCTAATTAGTGACTAAAAAACATTATTAGACTACTTTTAAAGATGAATTTTTTCAATTATGAAGACTGTTATCTTCTTGATACGTAGACCTAGATTGTTCTGGTCATTATCATTTAAAACTGTTTGTTCTTTCTGTTTATACGAAATTGTGACTCCTATTTTTATTCTGCAATTAAAAGCAAAAAAGGGGGTGGAAAAGGTTAACAATCATCGACATTGACTGTAGAGTAATATTTTAAAAAATGAATCGTCATAAACCTTCCGCTAGATGGCGTAGGTGCGTTGTGACGGCGGTAGTGTGCGGCTAGTAGTGTGACGTTCAAGACTAGTCAAAGCGGAGACCATCCAGTTTTTTGCTTTTTTTCTATTGACATTCCCTTGGTGGTCCCTCTCGGCTGCGTTTTAATTGGTGTAGAATCGCCCTATTTACATATCCTTTTTTTTTGTCCTATTATAGGCCTACACTATGCCACAGCTATTTGATCGTCGTTCATTATAAATAAAAACTTTTTAATTTAGTCTCATTGTTTAATAAAATAATAGAAAATACTGACTTTCCATTTAAATGCCAGTTTTTATGTCTATTAGAAAATGTCTATATAAACAGTTTAAGCATTAATATAATATAATTTATTAAGCCATAGGTAATTAAAAATAAAGGTTGTATTACTGTATACATATATATATATATACTTCTCATATGCGCTTTGCAATTGAGAGTACAAATAATTTACAAATTTACAGTCAAAATAATCATAATCCTGGTTAAAATATTAGCTTAAAAATGTTATAGATGCAGGTTTGTTTGTTTAAATGTTTTTTTAAGGGTATAGCTCTTCTAGGATAATTTCATTACTTATATTCTCTTCCTGGATAGATTTTTCATGAATATCTCGTCAACAAATGTGGAAATGATGAAAAGAATAAGGAATGAGAACTAACTTCCATAAAATAAAATTGGCATTTTTTTGACACATTCACAGACAAATAAACCTGTAAAATTTATCATTTCCAAATAATTTCTCGTTAAAAAGTTCCTAGAAAGTAAAAAAAAAAACCAGGAAAATAAGCTGTATGAACATCAAAGGAGAGAGTGAAAATCTCTCCAATCTCGCTCATGTTTGGTAGTTCAAATCTCATAAAGAGGAGATTAATTATCTTTTCTTAAAATAAATTCAATTTATATTCAACATTGATGATCTGTAACATTTTTACATTTATAAAAAGAAGTGAACTTACGCGTTTACTACTTTAGATAAGCTGTAATTCGATATAAAGAACATGATTATAATTATTGTTAGAAAAAAAAAATTAATAATAATTAAATTTTTCAGATTTTTAGGTAATTTTTCATAAATGAAGTGTTATCTTTATGGCAGTAAAGTCTCATGGAAGCAGAATCGAATCTAAATCGAGCCGGTGACAAAGACACGCGACAATATAAAGGAAATGCGGTGGCAGAAGAGGAACTGAAGCCACTTTTCAATTCTACTGTGCGTAGTTATGTTATATGCAAGAAGTTATTTTAATATTTTATCAAATTATGACACTTTATACAACTATTAGGCAAATCCAAACGAAGGAAAACCGGTAGAACGAATCGCTGCATCCGAAATCAATTCTCAACAAGACTCTCCTCGACTCTTACTTCGACGAAATGATGGTAATTTAGCCCTTTCGATTCGTGCTCACTCGCCCAATTCCAGGTGAATATTCTTTGAAATTACTGCAGAAAACGGATCCATTATTTTGTGATATATTAAATCTGTTGAAGCTTTTTTTTTTCTTTTTTAACTTTTTGTATAAATGATGTACTGCGATTTTCTTTATTTCAGCCCCGTGCAAAGACGTCATAAGAATCCCGAGGCAAAAGGTAGGGAAAGACTTATATAAAAGTGCTAGAATTACATATATCCTACGTCATCAGTGATAATAATCATACGTTTTCACTTTAATGATGATGGATAAGACTGGTTTCGTCATAATAGACGGTTGCTATTTTCTTCGAACTGATTTTAATCGAAAAGTATCAAAAAATTTAGGATAAATGTTTATTCTCTTGGTAGAAAAGTCGAATAAATAATTAAGAAATTTGTTTAAATTAAGAAAAATTAATACATTAATATAGGCCTATATTCTGTTTAAAAATTTTTTATTTTACTGTAAATTCTAAGCGCATCTTGCTTAATTAGGCCTATAAACAAAACAAAATTCGATTTATGTACTATATTTTTTATGTCGTAAAAATCAAAATACACAAATTAAAATTAAAATATTTCATAACTTCTTTTGCTTCTTATATTACATGTATTATTGTTATTATTTTCTTATTATAGCACTTATATACTCAAGCATTCTGAAATGCTTGTTCACTGTTCAGTGTTGCTGTGCAATTATCTAAGAAGCTTGAGTGTAACAAGCGAAAGTACTTAATAAATAATTTTTCTTCTAATTTCTGTATCGTCTGTTATATAAAATTCATTTATAAAACTTGTCCGAATCCTTTTAAAAATTAAATTTTAATGAATGCAATTAGTTTTCTCGAGAATTTTTCAGTTTTCTTATAAATATTTTTATAATTAATTTCTTAAGTGACATAAATTGCATAGGCTTACATATATAATCAAAATTCCAAAATCCATTCACCCACTGGCCATGGGCGAGTTATCTAAAACAGGTGAATGAATTTTTATCTCGTTCTAAATGCATTCCGGAATAATTACATTACTTCTATTTTTTCACATGATTACATCAGTGGCATGTGGTTAAATCCATGTAAATAAAAGTAAAATTGTATTTCTGTATAATTATATTTACAGTGTTATAAGTAAATGTATTATTTTTATTTTCTTATCATAGTACTTAACATTGAATTTTTAAAATATCTCCTGTAAAAATGTTTTAAGTAAATGTTTAATCATATTTTTATAATACTGTATAAGATAAATAGCCNTTTTAAATTATAGATACTAGAGATTTCAAAATAAAATATTTGAACATTTATATAATATTTCTTTGTATAAGGCAGAATTATGAACTAAAACGTGCTTCTCGTATTAATATATTGTTTTTGTTGAAAGTTTTGCTTGTTATGTGTGCAGTTTACGCCCAATTTCTGTAAAAAAATAAGTGAAAAAATCGAATGTTTCTGTTTCTGATTTGCAAAATGTTTTACTCAAGTTTACGTTTACTTTAGTCTAACCTTAAGATTAATGGATGACTTTTGTTTCTTATATATAATACAGTAACACCTCGTTATATCGCGCTTGTCGGGAGACTAAGGAGAAGCGCGATATAACCGAGTATTAAAAATTCTGAGCTTATACTAAACAGATTATACATGCTATGGAATCTCTATTATCTACTCTTTCATCAGCAAGTGTTTCTGATATAAAATAAGCTTAGTTTTGCAATACTGAATTTCATTCGTAGTCACATCGTATTAATTGACGTTTATGTAAACATCCATAACATGCCCATTTAACATTATTAATTTTTTTAATAATGACATTTAAAGACAAATACTGTCGATATAAAAACAAGATATCAGTCGCGATTTTATTATACCGTACTGTATTTCATAACAAATCGCTTATTAAAAATTCGTATAATTTATATTTTTCATATATCCGAATCTCCGATATAACGAGCGGCTACTGTACTATAGAAGCTTGAATAATGAGTCTAACTTGTAATCGGTCAAAAATAACAGAGTAGACTCTGTTATTATAATTTGTTTTTAGAAAAATACTATTATTTTTCGCGTTATTATTTTGTTTGGTATGATAAGAAACACCAGATCAGTCAGGTTTTTTAAAAAAAATTTATTTTTACATTGACACCTTCCAGATCTTTTTTTTACCATTTAACCCTCATTTATCCTATAGGGTGATTGTTTCAAATATAATTTATTTTTGTCTATATAGGCTATATATTAATATAATATATTACTTTGTATGTTTGAAACAATCGCGTGTAGATAAAGTTGATCGTGAATTGTTTATACTAAATTGTTTTTGTTTAACAATCATTGATCGGTTATAGAATTATAGAACTTTTATGCTTAACGATAATTTTCATGTTTAACGGTTTATTTATTGTATTAAAGAGTATAATAAATGTATCATTATTCATAGAAACCGAGCAGGATTTATAGTAAAGGATATAGGCCTAATAAGTAGCCTATCACTGTAGAGTACAATCAATATTTTGCTATAAAAAAATACTTTGAATTTTTAATGAAAGTTATCTTTATTGTCGAATTTTTCACAATTTTCTTTGATTATAGTCACTTCTTTTAAGATAAATAAATTAGTATTGCTATAAACCAATTATTTTTATTTAACAGCTGATTTATTAACTCTGTACAGTATTCGTGTTGTTCATTTAGGCTATATACTTGTAAATAAATAATATTTTAAGAACTTGAAAATAAAATATTACATAAAATTGCTACTGAAACTCATAAAAATTATATGCTTTTTATATTTATTTTAATTCAATTATTCTTCGTATTTTATTCATTTCAATTAATAGATTTTTATGGAGATGACTTAGTTTTTAAAAAATAAAAAGTTTGCGAGATAAAATTTATTATTATTGATGACATTTTTAAGTATTTTATAATAATTATTATTTATTTATAATGTGTTTTTAATAAAACTAGTTATAATTTTAATTACAAAGTTTTCATAGCAGAACTACTGTAATTAAATCATAATATATAAATACCATAGACTCTTGTTAATCCGGTATTCTCTGCACAGAGGGGTGCTAGATTAGCGAGAGTGCTGAATTACTGAGAGTGTATAGGCTTAAGGTCTGCCTAAAGGCAATGAATGAATGACATAACCTGTCGCCCTTCGTCCTGATTATTTTTGAATGCAAGAGGGCAAACAATACGGCGCGCTGACATGCAATTCTGTGCTGTACACAAAAATGAAATCCGATTAAATTGAAAAACAGAATGTGCAACATGACGATTCATGGAAACGGATGCGCATAGGCGAACACACTGGGTCTGTGTCGAATAACTGAGGGAGAGAATTATTAAGAGCTCTCAATTATCCGGCAAGTATTAAGACAATTATCCAAATTAGAAAGAGAGTACTATATTAAGGTATTTTTCACTTTTTGTTGACAAATTAAGTAATAACCCTAAATAACTATTTTAATATATCTGTGAAACTTACAAATGAAATTCAAAGAAAGAAATGAAGATGCTGATAGAAAAATACATTTACGACATATGATAACGAAAGACACGTTTGGTTTTGGTATTATTTTATTGGTTTAAGATCATGTGATTTACTATTTGATCATTTCATGCTTTTGATTTTGTTATAACTTACTTTGTTTCATAATTATCATTTATGACGTAACGTAATTACGTTCCTAATTTGTCAATTTAATGCTGTAAATGTTTTCTTTTTCAAAAAAAAGTATTGCATTTCAAAAAAGAAAAAACATTTTTAAATATAATTCTCGAATTTTTCGGAGTTAATGGATAAAGTTTGCTGAATCCAACAAATTAATCGACAAGATTTTACTTAATATTTTATTAAGAAAATTATTACTAATGATATTTACATTATTTTTATTTTTATGAAATAATCTTAATTTTATATAAAGTAGGAAAAACTCTGATAAATAATGTTATATAAATTATTTCTAATTTTTAAATCTGCTCAATAATACTTGCGATAATCTGGAGAAAATTTTTGAAAATGGTTTTAGTAGCATTGATTTAGATCAGGATTTCTTAATCTTTTTAGTGACCGACACCTCCTTGAATCTCAAAATTCTCAAAATAAGGTCTCACACCCCTTTAAAATTGTGTTCCGATGTTTTGTTATGAAATTCGAATGAGCCCAAAGTGGTAAAGGTACTGTACAGAGAGTGCGGATCCCGGACATCGCCAGGACTCTGAGTGTACTGTGTACTCAGAATTAATATATCGTTGGTTCTGAGAGTACTGTACATAATACACTACAGTCAAATTTTTATAACAGCTTAAATTTTAGTATTACACATCTAAATGTTAAAAACCTATCGTTACCACTCGGACCCTTGGAAATACTTTCTTGCATCTCCAGGGGTGCACGCACCCCAGGATAAGAAGCACTGATTTAGATATAGGCTACAATGGAATATATAACTTATTTTATTAGCCGTACTATGTATCATTATTTAATAATGAAATTAATGTATATTAATTTCATTTAATAAATTAATATAAATCTTACAAAACAGATGAAATAAGTTATGCTGAAGACAGTAGCCCATTTGTTTCCAATAAACATTGATCAAATCTCAAATTACATATAATAGATGTGTTTTATGCTGCAATTAATAATCATTATTATTTCTGGAGAAGTTTTCATTTATTATTACTTTTAGTATATGTAATTATTTAAAATACTTTCAAATAAAGCATTTAAATAAGCATAACAGAGTAATTTTTAAATAGAATTATTTTAATCAGTTCATTTTCTTTGTTCTGTTTTTTTTAAAAAAAGCTCGAATAATTTTCACTATGTTCTCTGCTTTCGATATAGCTTATGTATTTTTTAAATTATAGATTTTTGAATTAATAGATTAGTAAATTGTTTAATTAATAAAAACTTTTTTTATTTCACCGTTAATCGTAATAAACACAGATTTTAATGTAGTAATTATATTTTTAATGTTTCATCAACGCTTAAGACATTAAAACAATAAATTTATTGCTATAAAAAAGTGAAATTAGCATTTTCTCAATAAAAAAATGAATTTGTTATTTGTACAGTACAGCTTATTCGATTCGGAAATAAACACTGAAAATAATATCGAAAAGGATCGTTTATAAACTACAAAACACTATTTTTATAATTCCAACTACCATTCCACCCCTCTGTAACGCTTCGTAACGCCGTTAATCAACCCCTTAATTACACTACGGAATAATTTCAGCACGAGGTACTGAACGTCACATTATTTTATTAATTACATATATAACGTACAGTACAGTACAATGCAGTGACGAGCAGCATGGTTCGCTTTGCAGCACTTCAGAAACAAAAATGAATCATTCCGTTACCCAAGGGTTGATAAGAGCATCTGTGAGTGATAGGCCTATCACTGGAGTGCCTTCTTTACATTCATCTGGAGCTTCCATACCAGCTGTATCTATGTATTCCTCGTTAATTAATTCATAATCTTCAATTCCTTCAGAAAATTTCATCAAACACGTAAGATCCCACGTAGAGGAGGCTACACGCTGATATAGTTTCTTTTAAATTAAAAACTTCTGTTTACTTTTGTGTGCGTTTCTTAACGAAACTTATTGCCAAATCTGAGAAGTTGTCACCATTTGACGAAAAATTAACGATAGCTTTATATCTACATATTAAACTAACAACAGTCGATTTAAAGAACCTAGCATTAAGTAACTTTTTTTTTGTTAACCTTCCCCACCCCCTTGCAACTCATCATAACGAGTACTGTACTTACCTATCCACACATTAATGCTTGTGTTACGTAATTTATAGGCAGCCCAAAATATCATCTATTTAAGTGACAGTTTTAAAGAAACGACTAAGTATAGGCCTAAATCGTTTGCTAAATAGATATTTTTTGTGTTATCATTAAACTATAAAAATAAAAACATGATTATATGAATATAATTAAACATTACAGGCCGATTTAATACCGAAAATTTAATTTGGAATATCCTTCGACCATCGACTATACAAAACCCAGATCAGTTTATAGCAGTAAACTCTTAATTTATAAAACTGAATAAAAGTATTTAGTCCTAATTAAGATAAATATCATTAAATAAATAAAAAGGGATAGATAAAATATAATTATATAATATATTAAGTAAATCATTGACTTGAATTATAGCAAACCTGGCATTGTTATAATAATGACTGGAATTGTAAAATTTCAATCATTAATATTAATTAATTAGAATTAAATTATTGATATTAATTATAAATCTTTTAATTTTAATTGATTAATAACGTTCATAATTCTATATAAAATTATATAAAATGTAATATTTAGAAGTAATTTCATGATAAATTTTGCTTAATTTTAATTCATTGATTTATTCAATTACAATAAATTTTTATTAAAAACGAAAAGTTTTGATCGATTAATCCTACTTCGACTATTTTTAGAGTAAATAAAAAATGAATATTGAAAAAATTAAACCTAGTTTTGTTATTTATTTAGCTATTTTTAGATAATAAAAAAAAAAGCTATCGTGTACTGTACCATTCGTTCGTACGTTCATCCCATCTTCGTCTATCCCCTTTCCTATTGATATCTGTAAAAAAATAAAAGAACTGAGCAAGTGAAGCTCTGTATTAGACAGTCTCCTCGCATAGTTACGCATCAAATGAGACATTTTCTTCAATTCTAAATAAATAAAATTTCCACATTCTCTTACAATTTCCGATAAAGGTAGAATTTTGAAGTTATTCTGTCTCTTCTTTCTTAAAAGAGCTAATTAGTGACTAAAAAACATTATTAGACTACTTTTAAAGATGAATTTTTTCAATTATGAAGACTGTTATCTTCTTGATACGTAGACCTAGATTGTTCTGGTCATTATCATTTAAAACTGTTTGTTCTTTCTGTTTATACGAAATTGTGACTCCTATTTTTATTCTGCAATTAAAAGCAAAAAAGGGGGTGGAAAAGGTTAACAATCATCGACATTGACTGTAGAGTAATATTTTAAAAAATGAATCGTCATAAACCTTCCGCTAGATGGCGTAGGTGCGTTGTGACGGCGGTAGTGTGCGGCTAGTAGTGTGACGTTCAAGACTAGTCAAAGCGGAGACCATCCAGTTTTTTGCTTTTTTTCTATTGACATTCCCTTGGTGGTCCCTCTCGGCTGCGTTTTAATTGGTGTAGAATCGCCCTATTTACATATCCTTTTTTTTTTGTCCTGTTATATGCCACAGCTATTTGATCGTCGTTCATTATAAATAAAAACTTTTTAATTTAGTCTCATTGTTTAATAAAATAATAGAAAATACTGACTTTCCATTTAAATGCCAGTTTTTATGTCTATTAGAAAATGTCTATATAAACAGTTTAAGCATTAATATAATATAATTTATTAAGCCATAGGTAATTAAAAATAAAGGTTGTATTACTGTATACATATATATATATATATATATATATACTTCTCATATGCGCTTTGCAATTGAGAGTACAAATAATTTACAAATTTACAGTCAAAATAATCATAATCCTGGTTAAAATATTAGCTTAAAAATGTTATAGATGCAGGTTTGTTTGTTTAAATGTTTTTTTAAGGGTATAGCTCTTCTAGGATAATTTCATTACTTATATTCTCTTCCTGGATAGATTTTTCATGAATATCTCGTCAACAAATGTGGAAATGATGAAAAGAATAAGGAATGAGAACTAACTTCCATAAAATAAAATTGGCATTTTTTTGACACATTCACAGACAAATAAACCTGTAAAATTTATCATTTCCAAATAATTTCTCGTTAAAAAGTTCCTAGAAAGTAAAAAAAAAAACCAGGAAAATAAGCTGTATGAACATCAAAGGAGAGAGTGAAAATCTCTCCAATCTCGCTCATGTTTGGTAGTTCAAATCTCATAAAGAGGAGATTAATTATCTTTTCTTAAAATAAATTCAATTTATATTCAACATTGATGATCTGTAACATTTTTACATTTATAAAAAGAAGTGAACTTACGCGTTTACTACTTTAGATAAGCTGTAATTCGATATAAAGAACATGATTATAATTATTGTTAGAAAAAAAAAATTAATAATAATTAAATTTTTCAGATTTTTAGGTAATTTTTCATAAATGAAGTGTTATCTTTATGGCAGTAAAGTCTCATGGAAGCAGAATCGAATCTAAATCGAGCCGGTGACAAAGACACGCGACAATATAAAGGAAATGCGGTGGCAGAAGAGGAACTGAAGCCACTTTTCAATTCTACTGTGCGTAGTTATGTTATATGCAAGAAGTTATTTTAATATTTTATCAAATTATGACACTTTATACAACTATTAGGCAAATCCAAACGAAGGAAAACCGGTAGAACGAATCGCTGCATCCGAAATCAATTCTCAACAAGACTCTCCTCGACTCTTACTTCGACGAAATGATGGTAATTTAGCCCTTTCGATTCGTGCTCACTCGCCCAATTCCAGGTGAATATTCTTTGAAATTACTGCAGAAAACGGATCCATTATTTTGTGATATATTAAATCTGTTGAAGCTTTTTTTTTTCTTTTTTAACTTTTTGTATAAATGATGTACTGCGATTTTCTTTATTTCAGCCCCGTGCAAAGACGTCATAAGAATCCCGAGGCAAAAGGTAGGGAAAGACTTATATAAAAGTGCTAGAATTACATATATCCTACGTCATCAGTGATAATAATCATACGTTTTCACTTTAATGATGATGGATAAGACTGGTTTCGTCATAATAGACGGTTGCTATTTTCTTCGAACTGATTTTAATCGAAAAGTATCAAAAAATTTAGGATAAATGTTTATTCTCTTGGTAGAAAAGTCGAATAAATAATTAAGAAATTTGTTTAAATTAAGAAAAATTAATACATTAATATAGGCCTATATTCTGTTTAAAAATTTTTTATTTTACTGTAAATTCTAAGCGCATCTTGCTTAATTAGGCCTATAAACAAAACAAAATTCGATTTATGTACTATATTTTTTATGTCGTAAAAATCAAAATACACAAATTAAAATTAAAATATTTCATAACTTCTTTTGCTTCTTATATTACATGTATTATTGTTATTATTTTCTTATTATAGCACTTATATACTCAAGCATTCTGAAATGCTTGTTCACTGTTCAGTGTTGCTGTGCAATTATCTAAGAAGCTTGAGTGTAACAAGCGAAAGTACTTAATAAATAATTTTTCTTCTAATTTCTGTATCGTCTGTTATATAAAATTCATTTATAAAACTTGTCCGAATCCTTTTAAAAATTAAATTTTAATGAATGCAATTAGTTTTCTCGAGAATTTTTCAGTTTTCTTATAAATATTTTTATAATTAATTTCTTAAGTGACATAAATTGCATAGGCTTACATATATAATCAAAATTCCAAAATCCATTCACCCACTGGCCATGGGCGAGTTATCTAAAACAGGTGAATGAATTTTTATCTCGTTCTAAATGCATTCCGGAATAATTACATTACTTCTATTTTTTCACATGATTACATCAGTGGCATGTGGTTAAATCCATGTAAATAAAAGTAAAATTGTATTTCTGTATAATTATATTTACAGTGTTATAAGTAAATGTATTATTTTTATTTTCTTATCATAGTACTTAACATTGAATTTTTAAAATATCTCCTGTAAAAATGTTTTAAGTAAATGTTTAATCATATTTTTATAATACTGTATAAGATAAATAGCCCTATGTTAGAAACTAGTACATAATTTTAAAATGAAAAAAATTTTTAAGCTATCTTCCAATAATAAATTTGAAATATTTTATTATTATAATTCTTATCAAAAATATATATTTTTTAAGTATTTCTTTTAATAAACGAATAAATAATATTTGAAAAATTCCTAATTATTCCTTCTTATTTAGTGTTTTATATATTAAATTAGTTTCATATTTTAAAATATTATAAAATAAATCTTTTTTTGAGTTAATAGAAGACGAAATATCCAATAATAGGATAGACAATGTTTCCATCAACTTGAGTGACTCTCAGATTTTATTTAATCACGAACAACCGTCATCTCCTTCGAAATCTCCTTCACCCGAAAGACCTAACCTTCGACCCAGAAGAAATATGAGTGATGTCACAATAGAACTTAGTTCTATTAAATCAAATACACCAGTCCCCTCTCTCAACGAAGGAAAAGACGACGACGAACAAATTCTAGAAACAGTAAGTGAAATTACACTTAAACAAGTATAGAGACGATGGACGAAGTAATATAAATTACAGTAAACCTTCGGTTTAACGGACTAATTGGGGAAGGGAGTTTCTACTATTGCGTTAAATCGAATGTATTTTGAAAACATATAGGCCTATTAATAACAAACTTGATTATAATATACTTTACTGGTTATAATTAAGTAATTTATTGACCTAACCTCTTTTAACGTATTCTATTGACAAATAAAGAAAAGATTCAAGAGTTATTTCCTTTCTAGAGTTAGGGAAAGTTCATTAAATCGGTGTCTATTAAATCGAAGGCTTACTGTACTTTAATAATTTTCTTTTAATAAACATTACGTTAAAATATTTATATATTTATAAATGTCAAAACAAATGATATATCTTTTTCTAATTTCTAGTTAAGGGTAGTGATAAGAAAATGTACGAACCCAGAAGCCAGCAAAAGACCAACTTCGGACGAAATCGGCAATCTCTTTAATTCCTTCCTCAAATGACCATCGACTATATTTATATTGTTTCTCTTCTCGTCAGGAATGAAGATATTGTCTCTTCATTATTCATTTTCTTCATACGTGACAATAAAACTTCGTCATTGAACAAAGTTCGATAAACCTTTTATATAAACAACGACTGTAAATTTAAAATAACAGACTTAGATTTATTTCTTAACTGAAATAAACGCTTTTATAGAATAAAATATTATAGATAAAAACCGCTCCAAAACTGTAATATAATGTTAATTAATTAAGAATATCCTCATTGGAAACAATGAAACATATTTAAGTTACTAAATAATTTTATACAAAAAAATTATGTAAATAAACTCTAAAAGATTGAAATTTTAATTAAACTCCAAGTCGTTTTTTTCTATTGAAAGTACTGTAACGTATCTCAAATACAATTATTTTAAATGAAACAATAACTGTAATTCTTTTGATTAATATTTTCATGCACATGTAAAGGTCAATATAACATGCAGAAATACTTTATTCATGAAGTTTCTTTCCTTTCTTCCTACAAAAAAAAAAAAAAAAAAAACATTTCAGTCATAAATAATCTATTTTAAAAAATAGAAAACATTTACAGCATGTTAGATTTTTACAATAAATTCTAGCAAACGTATTTTTGGATAATACAGATAATAGAATAGGATATAATAGAATACAAGTATACTGTATATAATAGAAATACAATATTTGCTTTCAAAATCGTCCAAACTACATTGTCTACAATATAATTTTAGTACAACTTCCCTTAAGTTTCCATTTCTCTACTCTTAAAATTCTTTACATTTAACGAGAAAAGTCACATTTGTCAAGTCCATATGATCTATTAACTTCAATCAAAACAAACAATAAATTAAATAACTGATCTTTTTATCATCAGCTACTAAAATTCTAAACTTCTCCGAAGATCTTTTTACATTATTTTATTATAATTTTTATGAATAAAACAAAATATATTAAATAGTCTCCTTCCTTGTTTTTTAAGAGAACGCTCAGTTGCCTATTTTTTACTTGTCCTTCTAATCATGTACTAGCTCCGTTAATGTTAGACGTATAAAACTTACTAAGCATATAAAAATCACATTTTTATAAAAATTTATACGAAAAGATACGTTTTAATTACGAAGGTTATTCTTTATGTAAAATGCTATCCTATCTGCCGTTTAACTACAATCAAAAAATGTGTAAATTCTTTACATTGAAATAAATTAAATGATTTTAAACGAATTTAGAGAAAATTTGAGTTAGAAATACGCATTTTCTCTATAACTATAACCGTTATAAATATTTTTGCTATTTTATAGAGTTAAATTTCAACCATTTCAACTTTTGTTACGCAAAGTAACGGACGAGTATTGTATAGCCTCTATTCTAACTCTGATATTTACTGGTAGAATCAAATAAAACTTTTATGAATGTAATATAAAATATTCCAATGCATACTTACAATTGCCGTTAGAATGAAAATTTTTAAAAATTCCATTCTTATAAAGACATTTTCTTGTTCAATCTTTAAAGATACGTTTTTATTAGATTTAGAAAGTAGTCCGAACCCCAGCAAAGGTTTATATAATGGCGCCTAGAGAACAAATATAAAACTATATTTCATTTCATCTTTATCATATTGCAACATTAGTAATATGTTTTTAAATAATTAATAGAATATTTGTAATTCGTGAAAATATCGAAAAAAATTTTTTCCTAATTGTTAAAAAGAAATTATCTTGTTTATAGTTCGGATCTCGTTTTGTTTACAATAATAATAATGTCTTTTTTATTGCTAGACATCCATACATTATTTTTCAATACAGTGCTACCTCGTACTTCGGACGACTCTAACTACGAACGCTTCAGAGTTCGAACGAATCAGAGTTCAAACGGTCTTCTGGAATGAATTAAATTCGAAGTACGAGGCACCACTGTATTCGATGAAGTCTTTTTAACATCGACTTAAAATATGGGAAAAAAAACTACATGCGAGTAACTAAAAAAGAATAATCTTTCAATATAGCCTATATCGAATCCATGCTGTAAGTAAAGAGAGAAAGAATTAAAGAATTAGACGGTCTAAGACAAGAAATAACTGGCTCTAATTTAATCCCAGAACATACGGATCAAAGTGCTTTGATAGTTTCGACAAGAAAAACGTTTTAATGCACGTAAAAAAATAAAAGAAGAAGGAGAGGAGAGAGAAGACTTAAATCAGTATTGTTTCATAGATAACTACTGAGGGCCAAGATTACACTAGAATGAAATGTTATCATTATTCCTGATAACGTTTCGATGAATAGTTTTTAGACACGCCACGTCGACAGAATAGACTATTAAAAACGGTATTTTTTAAATTCTTAAAAAATTAAACAAGATATAAAATTAATTATATAATAGGTTAATTGGGCTGCAATTTGAAAAAAATTTGTAGACCTATAAGTTCCACTGTCGTTCGTCTGTCCGTCTTTCCTAAATATCGAGAACAGAATTAGATACATGAAAAACGAAACCGTATATGGAAATCACAGAAGCAGGAGGCCCCGATTAACTACATATAAGTCTTCACTTCAAACAAAAAGTTACGTTATTTCAATTTAAATCTTTTCCCCTGAAAACAGTTAATAGATGACCGATACGACTCTATTGTTAAAAGAAAAGTATGATGTACAGCACAGTACAGGGGTAAGGAACTACTAATTTGAGGTGGAGAGCATATATTTTAAGATAAAAATTATTAAAAATATGATTAAAAATTGAAGCCCGGCATTGTAACGATGTTACAATAAATAATTGCCCGCATTTTTTGTAATTTTCTTCATTGGTTCTCACATGAAAATGTTTATTTTAATGAAATTGATATACAGTATTTCCAGTTCATCGCATTGTTTTATGAATTATGAAAATTACGTATTGATATAAACATAATAAGTTAATCTATTTCTTGTCGATTTAGTCTCAAGCACATTTAAACTAGGACATGCAAATTCTGGTAAGAAAATATATGCTTTAAAATAGAATTCGCGAAACTACGAGCTGCGAAACATACAACTTACAAATAATTTCTATGCCGAACGTAATTAGGCCTATATTAGGCCCAATTGTAATTAGATCTTTGTTTTTTCTTAGGTTAAACCTAAGAAAAACAAACCGTTTTAACCTAAGCAAAGTATTAGATATGATACGATTTGCCTAAATTATAAGATATGGATTCTTTTTATATAAAATACAAAAGTGTGACATGCTATTTAAGCAATCGAAAAAATAGAAAATATTATAACAATAATATAAAATAAATATTCAATAAATTAAGGTCAACTTCAAAACGGATTTTCCAGGTGTTATCTGATTATTATTTGATTAAACGTATAAATATTTATTACCCTTTATAATATAAATCTTAATTTATTAATTGTTTACAGTTGGAATTACCCGAAATTTAAGTTTACTTCAAGAGTAACTTATTTTTCTAATATTAATTAATATGAGTTATATATACACATGCTTAGCTATTTAAGATTTAAATACCACTTAGCGTTACGAAGATATTGTCTAATTTGTTGTCTCTATTAATTTTGATTCAATCGTCAATTAAAGATGTATTCATTTATTATTCTAATATATGAAAATCCCTATATCTCGTGTAAAATGTTATATATAGAACTTTTAGGACTATTTCAATTAAAGAAACAAAGATTTTGTTATTTATAAACAATAATATAGCTTATTTATAATCCCATTAAATCGCTAGATGATATTTATAAAAAAATAAATAAGATTAAACTTTTTTGGTTAAAAAATGGCATAAAGACATGACATGTGCAGATTAAACAAGTTATCTAATTAAAAATGTCATGTTTTTCTCTACAAAGTTTGCTTTGTCAATAGAAACAATGGACTTTCAATAGATTTTATATTTATTTTTTGTTGTTATTTTAAGTTATTTTTGTTGGCACGACATGAAAAAGTTCTTAAAAATAACCTTTTTTCTCTTCCGAATTAAAAGATAACCTTTCTAAAACGAAAATAATAATAATAATAACTCGAAATTTTTAATGTTGTTAGTAGAATTCATTCGTTTATTTTATATTGAGTCAATAAATGCGACTGATTCATCGGTTTAAATAAATAATAACACAAATATGATTTGTAATCATCAAAATAGAAAATATTTACTTGGTAACCATATAAAAATTTTTGATTAATTTGCGATTATTTCGGTCGCTAAGCTATGGCTAAAGTCTATAAATTAAGAAATAATCTAATAAAATAATTTCGTTAATTTTTTAACAAAAACTGAAGAGTGCTAGCGATATCTTTATCATGTAAATAATAAGTAATATTACTTAAATATAATAAAGAAATGGATAAATTGTTTTATGAGATCAAAATGATCAATTTATTCTATTTTTTATAAGACTTTTCTAATTTACTTTTAATAGAAAGTGTTATATAGACTTTAACACTTAAATATCGAATAAACTAATCAATAAATAGGCCTATATTAAATTATTCAGAATATAACTAATTATAATTTTAATTAATATATAAAATTTTTCATTATAAGTTCTTTTAAACAAGCTTATATATCAAGACGTGTAAATTATAAGTAAATATTTACAGAAAATAAAATGAAAACCTTGTATTAAAAATTATTTCTGCTCGTATTATATTTATATACAAATGACTAATTCGTTTTATGTAAATTTTAATATTAATTTGAATTAATTAAATCAAAATGTTTACAAGAAATCAAAAATTTTAATTAAATAAACTTTAGATTCTTATAAACAATTTTATGCGAGATGATTGGGATGAGCCATCTCCTCTGAAACATCATAAAAATGCATTGTCATCGAAATTAGTTTGTCGTCAATGTTTTAGCCATTGTCTTCATTTAAATTCAAAGAATGTTCTTTATTTTCTATAATTATAGTGTCTATACTTTACACATTTTCCTCAATATTAAATTTAAATAACGTCATGCGACTTATAATTCATGCTTAAACCAATGAGTTCGAATTTATATTATGGAAATATGTTTTATTAAGGTTTATAAACTTATCTTAAAATAAAAATACTGATGTAATTTGAACCGTTAAATTATAAGTATTTTTATTCATTTTTTAAATTTTTATATTACTTTGATAATTTTGAATGTTGTAATAAAATGAAAATGAAGTTTAATTTCGATTTTAATAAACTAAAATTTGACACTTCTATGACGGATTTTAGTTAACTATAAACGCTCTAATTAAAGAAAAAAACACTTTTTTCAGTGATTAGTATTTTCTGGTAAATGAATAAAAATATAAGGTATTCCTTTCGAACGTTCCTAGTTTTCTGGATGAATTTTAGATAAAGAAACGTGAGTACAGTACCGTAGACAATGGAACACAGAAAGTACCATTCGAAAAAGATAGTCTCTACATTAAATCAGTACATTTCCACATATGCTTCTGACGTAGGAAGTGCTGTACTGTATAGTATATTAGGATGCATGTAGCCAGCATGTTAGAAATCACTCTGTTAATGGCATCCACGATTCTTTACGCGAGGCTCTCATGTCTAGTACTTTTGTAGTGTACACACAATCCTTAACATGACCACAAAGAAAAAGTTCGAAGAGATGATGTTAGGGGATCGAGCAGACCAAGAAATGGGGCCACAGCGATATAGACCATGCGGCAGCTGCGATCCTTTCAGGTGTTATGGCATGAAACTTATTGTATCCAATTATTTTAGGAAAAAAAAAACATTAATAAATTTAATATTTTTAGAAATTTTAACATGTAAATATTCAATAATAGTTTATTTTCGGTTTTAAAAAAAATGTCTAGAAAATAATTAAGTGTTATGGAATTTATTCACGAAAATTTATTCACGAAAATTTACTTCTTTTAGTTATTGTTTCTGTGGATTTCAAGTAGTGAAAATAGCCTGTTATTTGACACTTCACGAATTTATTGGCCTTTTTTCAAATGAATGTTGTATTATTTTACTTATTTGCCTATGTTAAATCAATTTTTGATATAAATCATAAAACTATTAAGTAATAGCGCAATATTTCTATTTGTAGAATCCGATATATTTAATTGTCTCGGAATTATTTCATTTATTATCTTAAATTTCAGTATCAATTCTCGAGATATGACTCAGTAAACAGTGTAAAGAATATCGGTTGCTCCGGATACCGTATTGATAACGACAAGATATTAGCAAGCTCAGAAATGGTAGCCATTTTCAACTTTTTCTTAATTACAATAATTTTATTAACTTCAGATTTCGCAATTTGTCGACGGTTATGTAAGTTCGATTTTGTTTTAGTAAACAAATTTCAATTCTATAAAATTTTTATTTAATTCGTCACAAGTTTCAGTTTTTATTACTACTAATTAATTATTAACGTAGTCTTATTCAGATTAGAAACTTTCAAATTTATTTCATTTGCAAGTAAAATTTTATAACTTTTTGTAAAGTATTTAATTTTATGAATTTTTTTCTATTAAAATAATTTTATTTGCCAAAGTTTTAAAAAATAAGTTACAAACAGCTCAGTCTGAGTTAATACGTATTGTATATAGATCTACTATAACTTATTTATTTATTTTTAAAACAAAAACTAACCTATTAGGACCACTTTATGCTACTTAGAACTGTCTAAACAAATTAATATAGGCCTAATTAATTATTATATCAGTTCGGTTGGTAACTATTATATTTATTTCCAAACTAGATTTAAACGAACTGTTCACTAGTATTTAAGAAATAAATAAAGTAATTTAAGCAAAAATATATTTAAAGAAGATTAATTAGAAATTCTCTATTGTACACTACATTAACAACTTTAATCTAGAATTAAAATTATTGACTTTAATAATGTGCTTATTCCTAATGCTGATAACATTTAAATGCAATCTTAATCATAATACAAATATTGATAAAGTTTCGTTATAAATTACATAATTAAAAAGAAATACTTAATTTGAATTTCAAACGGATCGTTTGAAATTCAAATTAACAAAGGCCTACCATAATATTATGTTAATTCCACTTAAAAGGAAATGGGTGAATTTTGAATACCACAATTTATATTAAGTCTAGAATTTAAGACCAAAAACTGTTTTCTTAAAATTCTTTTAATATGAAATAATTTAAATTTATTTGCAGATTTTATCGAAGAAGAATGTTTAAATGGCACGTTAAGGATAGAACTGAAGTCGTCAGGATACGATTCGAATGCCGTTTTGTCGGCTTCTGTTCATGGTTCTTCTACAATTAACCGTAAATGTAACGTTTTGATAGAACCAGAAATGGGATTCGGAACCGTCGTCTCTTTCGAACACGTGGACATTTCCATGGATCCTTTATGCAGAAATTATATACAGGTAATATCATTTTTAAATAAGTATCAAATCAAGAACTTACAATTTCGAGTATTTTCATCTAAACTCATTAAACAAGAGACTATTATATTCCTTTTTTTAAAATAATATGAATTGTTAATTATATAATACATCTATATTAGGTTATTATCCTCTTTTTTTTAATCCCTTCTCTGTGTTTTGTGACTAGTTAAGAAACTTATAACAATTATTCTTGAAAAGAACAGAAAAATACATAGGATCACGTGCTTAGATATTTTTTTAATGATCGATTCAGCCGTTTTTTAAAACTATATGCCTCAATATTTCTATAAAGGGTCTTAAAACAGTCATAAAATCAATAATTGTCGAATGTATTTTTAAGCAAGAGAGCAATTCCACTCCTTTTATTAATATCCATTATTTTTAACAATTGAAATTTATTTATATGTGTGTAAAGATAAACTAAACTTGCATAAGTATACGAATTTAAACCGTATAACTCATAATTTTCAAATATTTAATAACGTAATAAAATATGATTTTCCCTTTCACATTCATACGAAACTAGTGATTCAAACCCATGTTTATATGATAGTTCAGTGATTATTATTTATATAATACTTGTAGATTTTATTACTATAAGAATAAAAAATGATTTTTATAGCGTAATGATTGGGCCTACGACCCTTTCTATGTAATTTAATAGCTTCAATTGAAATTTTAAGTATTATTTTCGAAGTTTTGCACATATAAAACTTTGCGCAACTTTATGAAAAAAACAGTCAAAAGTTGCGAGTATTATAAATAAATACATCTGTAATAATTCGAAACAACTAGTATTGGCGATAAATTTGCATATGTAAAAGGTAAAAGGTAAAGGCGAGATTTACAGAATACAGATTTGCTATAAAGTAGCCTAATGAGACAGGGAATATATCATCGATCGCTTTCGATTCCGTTCTCGTGGAGTAAGAAAGATGAAGCGCCATCTGGCCAATAATATAATCACTACGGACATTTAAGAGAATGAATGCCTCCTCGTGTCGAATTTCACACCAGCCAATAATAAACCTAATATAGAGATAAAAGACGATTAAAATGGACAGTTTTTTCGACGATTTAATTAAGGTAAAAAATAAAAACTGCTAAAGAGTTTATAAAATACAATAGATTGTGTTATTTTGTGTAATATTTTCAATTAACTTCGTAAAAAATGGTTTCGTGATTTTTTTCGGAATTTTTTGGGATTATTATCACCCGTAATCACAACCAAGAATTAAGAGTTAGAATTAGGAATTAACCAATAAGCGTATGTACAGTGCGTAATAAGCAATAAATCAGTGTCGTAGCCAGAAATAAATCATTGGGAGGAGGCTAGAAAGGAAGGTGAAAAAATTGTGAATGATATATATATATTTTTTCCAGCCCGTACTAGGTCTATTAGCTACTGCTTATGTAAAAATAAGTAACAATAGTTTAAGTTTATGTGATGAAAGAGAGAGCTTATATTATATAAACTGCATTCGGACACAGCTGACTAAGCTGGATGTCTTAACCATCTCTTAGCCCCCGTAGTTACGAATCTGATTTACGTACTAAAAATAAAGTGAATGGTAATTGGTTAACTTCTCTAGGTTTTGATATTTTGATACTTGATTGTGAATACGGCCGTATACCCTATTCTTTTCGCAAGTTATAATTTCACATAAATGACACCGTTAGACGAAAGTTACCATTAATCTCCTAAGTATATCGAACTTAGTGGAACAAGACTAAAACTATAAAAGAATAATTTAATAAGAATAAATATGTTTAAAACTTTCGTGTATAATAATATCTGTGAAAACAGATTAATAGTTAGAATAGTGTTAGATTCTCTCTCTCTTTCTATCTATCTCTTTATCTTTCTAATCTCTATCATTGCTACATTTAATTCTTATTTTGTGCACTTCGATGCTTAACAATTTGCAATTATCGCCACTTATTAAATTTTGATAAAAACTAATAATTTTATATGTAAGAAAGCAACATAACAATATACGTTGCTTTGTAAGCTTTCTTACAAAGAAAACTTACAAAGCAACGTATATTGTTACTTTTACATAATTATAGTTATAAATATAAAACTGTAAGCCGAGAAGTCTGAAAGAATGTAACAATAGAAGTAAGTTATTAACAGGGTAGAGAAAAGAGCGATCAATCTATTTACGACTGTCGTCTCGACAAAGTCCATTCGAAACCCGGTTAGCATTTGTCGTTGTCCATGGGGGGTCCAACCGAGGAGAATAACCCACCGAACAACCGGAAAGTAAGTGCAAATGCTGGAGCCGTCGCATTACCAGCAAATATTACCAGACAATTTTGAATCAGTAGAGATTGTTTCAGAGACTTTTCAAATTTTTTCTTGTAAATTTCAAGATTTTGTTCTCAATTATGATATTATTCACTATTAATCGTATAAATATAGCATCTTGTCCATACATATAATCGATCATAGTTACTAATAATTCAGACGTGATACGGATGTAGTAATGTAATAATTACAACGTTAACCTAAAGTATATCAAATTTTTAAAGCGTTTTAATATTAATTCATTTATTAAACAAAAATAATAGCACTAAATATGGATCTCTGCATAAATTTTTGATTGATTCGAACGTCATTAACTTTAACTATGCAAATCTTAAGGACAAAATACGGTGGTCAATGTGCTATTTATATATCGAAAAAAATGGAGCACGTCGGAAATGAAGAACGGTTTCGAAATATTAATTCTTTTAAAATGCATCTAAAATTATAAAATAAGCACGGAAAATCTAATTCTTGAATTTACATAAAAATTAAGTTATTAATTAATTAAGCTACAAAATATAAACTGTAATCTATACTTCGTTGATAGAGCAAGAGTTTTCTTTAAATAAAAACTAAGAAAACAGAAATAAATTAAAAAGGACAGGTCCTATCATAAATGACAAAATAAAATCTATTTTCAAATTTATCAACATATCAAGTGTGGAATATTCTGGGAGCGACTTCGAGTTAATTAATTATAATTAATTACATTTTGAATGCATTTTAATATTACGTTAAATAAATTATTATTTAATATTAAAACTTTAGATTCTTTCAAAATTTCATGTTTATTTTTTTCGTTTAAATTAAATTTAAATTATCTTCTTATTTTTTGTGTAATCATTTAGACGTATACTCGCCGTAATTCATACTCTCAAACACTGTTGCCAGTGATTATTTTACCAAAAAATATTTCAACAATCTTTTATTGAATTTTTCCGAACAAAATCTGATTGGCGAATGAGAATATGCGCTTTTATTTTCGAAATTTCGTAATAATTAAAGGAAATGTAAACAAATTCCGGATGTTAACCAGCTTTCAAAGCGTCTACATAATGTCTTTTTCTAAGAGATAAATCAATTATATATGGCTTTCTTTGTAAATGTGTTATCTACAATATAAATAGAATTTAAAACAATGACATGGTTTTAAATTCATCTTTTGACGAGTAACTGGATATTAATAATTTGAGTAAAAAAATTAAATATATAATATTAATCTTTTATGGTCTATGATAGATTTGAAAATAATAATAATAATAATATAGTCTTTCCAGTTTCTCAAAATAATAATGAAGAATGGAACCGATATTCACCCATCTACTGTATTTATTTAGTTAATTATTTATATTTGTATATATAAATATAAATAATATATTTGTATATATAAAGTAGAGTGTCGATTATTCGAAATAATTGGGCAGGGAAGGACAATTTCGGATATCTGATCACATTTGGGAAAGAATTAAAAAGTAAATAACTTAAATAAAGTAAAAATATTAATTTTAACTCTAGAAATTTTACAATAATTAAGAAAGATTAAGGCATAGAAATTACTATAGTCTATACGAATAAGAAATAAGGAAAAATTGTCTAATTTATTAAAAACAAACTCTAGTCTTTCGTGACAATCTATAAGATAGGCCTACTGATGAAACCTTTAAGTACTGTACTTTTTATTTTGAATTCAAAGTAACATTAATATCGAATAAAATACAAATGCAAAAGTTATTTATTATAAGTTTTCTTGAAGGAAGTCACATATTTTGCATGGTTTTACGTAGATTTTTTTCCCATTTTTAAAGTTGCTAAATTCCTGGATCGCTCGATCGTCATGAGAGATGGGAAATCTGCTGCAGGTTGCATTCCTAACCGTATCAACATTATTTCTAATGCATCAAATGCTTCTCTGTATATAGGCACAGTGACAGCAGCTTATGACTCATTAATCGTGTTTTTCTGTCTGTACTATAATAAATAAAACCTAACACGTGTTAGTAACGAGATAGCTCAATAGAAGGCCTACGGGAGATCATCGAAAATCGTTATTACGTAAAATCTCTCTAATTTCTGGAATTATTACTCTTTGAAATCGATTCGGTTAATCGATTTGTTGAGTAATCGACACTCTACTGTAATTCGATAAAATTTACTAACGATTTTATTAGCTAAATAGTTTTTATATTTATACAATAAATTACTATGTAAGTGTAAGAAACCATCCATCCAATTAATAAAAATAAAATTAATTTAATTAATAACTTTTTATAATTTTGACGATTTTAATTAAAATCATTCGCCTGTAATTTTAATATTTCTTTAACATGATTTAACCAGGTTTGCGGAATTAACGAAGTAAAAGATTGCAGTCGCAGGAAGTTTTGCTATTTAAAAGGAAAATTGTCGGAATCTTTCAATACCGGAGTTTCTGTTCGTTATTTCACTTCGAAAGCCTTTGTTAACGCACACAACACTGGTTTTCAACTAAGTTTCACTTCATACAGATTAGGTAAAGACATTCGCATCTAACAATATAAAACAGAAAAATTCAATGATTAAAACAATTAAATTTTTCAGCTCTACATAAAGATTGCGGAAACGAACACAATTTTTTATGCGACAATCATCATTGTGTTTGGAAGGGGCTTCTATGCGATGGTAGAAATAATTGCGGTGACAATAGCGACGAAATCGATTGCCGTATGTAATTCTTATACGTATATAATTATGTTATAATTTTAATCTTAAAATCTAAATTATGAAATAAAATAGATAAGGAGACGGAGAGGTTACAACATTTATCAAAAATTCTTTTTGGTTTTATATTAAACATACAAAAATCTAGTTAGCTTTTATTTTCATCTACAAACGACTACAGACTTAAACTGAATACATATTATTCATTTTTTGTATCTAAAAATATCAGAGCAATACAAACGTAGCGGTTTGCCCCATCACTGTGGCATTGTGCAACATCTAAGAGACAAGTTGCAACTAAATTTTTATTATATATATTTATTTATTTTCAGACATGATCCCATTGCAACGTTTCAGGTATATGTTATTTATATGTTGCAACCTATTCTTTTTGCATCTAATTCCGATCTTCCCTATCCTATATTGCAAAACTTCAAGTTTAATTTGTTATCATTCACATTAAACGTCACTTTCTATTGGACGGAAAAAAGTCGACGATGTAATTAATCAGAGAAATTCTCGTCACAGATTATATTAAATTTGAATAAATTATAATAGTTTTGTTAATATGTTAAATATAATTTTAATCATTAAGGAAGTAGCTATTTAAAATCGTAAATTTTAGTTTTATTTCATATAAGAGAAGATAACGTTTAGAGATAGCGGGTTGTCAGACTTTCGACTCACGACGTATTTTCTAATCAACGTCTTTAATTAATTAATTAAATGATAATAATTTGAAAAGTTTTAAATTTCACTTAAAATGATTATTTATTTATTTATTTTATTTATAGCTATGGACTGGCACATTATATTGAAAATCGTTTTGGCTATTTTCTTGGGCATCGTTTGTATATTATTGTCCGTAATCTGCTTCGTCTATTGTTTCAATAAGAAACTGAGAAAAAATGAAATTTCTTATAAATATGTCGCAATTTAAATTAATAAATGTATTTTTATGTTTTATAAATTGAAAACGTTTTCATTCTTAGTGTTATTATTATTATAATTTTTTTTTTTTTTGTTGAAAGGCTCAGTTTTCGCACCGCAAAGATTCGAGTGCCAAAAGATCGAGTTTCTTATAAATTCAACTCAACTTACCTTACTCAAAAAATCAAAATTCACTTTATTTTTACATTCGGGTTTCACTATTACATGAGATTGTTTTTTATACATTGAACAGAAACGTACTCGGAAAATAATTAATCAAGTAACAAACACCTTATTCGTTGCCAAAGGAGTTTATTATCCCTTGCAACGAATAAGGTATTTGTTACTTGATTTTTTATACATTATTGTAACTCTTTCCGCCATATTGGCAATAACAGGAGCCATGTGGGCCTACTTATGATCAGATAAAACTTGCGATTAAAAGATCATTTTTAATTATAAAAATATGTTAAAATTTGTATTATAAAATTCAAATTTTGTTAATTAATAAAGAAATGAAACATAAAATCACCAATTATACTCGTACAAAAAACGTTAGTTACAATTACTAACAGCATTTTAAAATTCGTAAAAAATATATATACATATACAATAACATTGATAATAGGAAGGAGAAAAAGTCTAGAAACATTAAACCTTAATAAAAACATGTACGTGGCAATAGAGAAAGCCACATTATTGAACACATGTCACATTATTAGGAAGTTTCTAGACGTTGACACATGTACTGTACAGCAGTACAGTACCAGTAAAACAGCTTAATGTTACACGTGTTTGGGTAGCTTGTTACCTTGACTTTAGTCTGGCACATCGCACTTGGCACCAGTATCATCTGAGCATAAAATTCGCAACATTATTATAATAATATTTATTTTTTTATTAATATATAGTCTATATATTTTATACGAGAAATTTTATATTTATTATTAATTTAATAACTAAGTAATTAAGTAAATCGAACTGAAATTCAACTAAATTTATCAACATAATTTGTATTAAAAAAATCTTATAAATGTAATGAATTTTGAAGATAATTTCAGAATATATTTAGAAATAAGAACGCATAAAATAATACAGATTTATCATTAAATATAACAAGTGAATTTTTCAATAACAAGTTTATAATATTTACTTATCTTAGGTAATGTTAAAAAATAATAGACTACATTTTTAGTTAAATTACAGCACATTTTGAATGAAAAATTCGTCGTATTCTGCATATATTTTGAGAGTAGTTATATATTTATTAAATATTTTTCTAATTACTTTCGTATTTATATTTGAGACGAAAATGGCTGCACATTCTGTTCCGTTATAATACGGTTCTATTTTATCTTTTAAATTTTACTTTCTTAATTTTTTAAAGTAAATTTTAATTAAAATAATTATATTTCATAATTTTTTTAATACAAGTATCCTCGTGCAAAGCCAATCAACGAAATTCATTTTAAATTATTCTTTGTTTTGTAAACACAGGCTCTGTCCGTAAATTCATAAATTACGTAATGCAGATATGAGTAAGTACAGATAATCATTGCAAGGGGGTGTTTACAAAAACGTTAGGTAATGCTAGGATCTCACTCTTGGATAACAGAATAATTAGATTTAGTTTCCGAAGAGTTTCACAGCAAACCATACTGTTTCTATCGCTGCTTTGTACTTAATTAATAAAATAAAGTAACCTTTAGTACTCTGTGCTGCGTATTATTTCTTAGTAGGACTACATTTAAGGGAATCGATTGAAGAATTGACCAATTTAATTATACTAAGGATTACGTAAGTTTTGAAGTAGATATGTGCAACGCATTACAAGAGGGTGTGATGGTAAAGTATGAAAACAGAGTTACATAATTTATAAACGATATCATACTAGAAATTCTCCCTAGAATACTTTTTATGAGAAGGTAGAGATTGAAGAATTGAGAAGAGTAGAGATTTCAAGAAATTCAGGAGTTGTTAATATTTCTACAAATTAAGTAGTTTAGAATTAGAAAAGTATGTCGACGTCGTCATACTTTTCTCCTTCATTTTCGAAACTTTCCTAGATTAGACGCGAATAAACTCCATATTTTATCGAATTCCCTCTGATCTTATCACTATGGGCAATTCTCAAAATTTGTGTCCATTTCTTTCGGAACTAATTTCATTTTCCCGCAGAAAACGAATATTTTGACACAAAACAGGTCGGCTCCGACGCGACTCGTATTTCCGCAGCCGGGAGGTATAGGTCTGGGCCTCTACTAAAACATACTGGCTACGTTCCTTCGACACGACACACAAAAACAACACACCAAAAAAAATCTCCCTGCCTTCTACGAACGTCATTTTATCAAAAATTCTTTTTGGTTTTAATATTAAACATACAAAAATCTAGTTAGCTTTTATTTTCATCTACAAACGACTACAGACTTAAACTGAATACATATTATTCATTTTTTGTATCTAAAAATATCAGAGCAATACAAACGTAGCGGTTTGCCCCATCACTGTGGCATTGTGCAACATCTAAGAGACAAGTNAAAAACAACACACCAAAAAAAATCTCCCTGCCTTCTACGAACGTCATCCCTTTTTCCGATATGGTGTGTCAGCTTAAGAGGCTCGGGTTTCTTTCGTGCAAAAGTCACGCCTATTTTAACTCTAAGGAATTCCGATCGGTATCTACGTCACTACCGAATTCACAGAAAGTTACTGTAAAAAATTTAATAAATATTTCTATCTATCCCCTACAGTTTACCTACACACTTTACATTAAGTTTAGAAATAAGCCTACTTGAAAACGTACTGTAAAGTAACCAACATTCTTTCACATAAACATTCTTTAAAATAAAAGTCCTATTTTGTATAAATAAATAAAAACAAACGACGCTCACAGCCGTAATAGAATTTTTACAAATGTTTGTTATCAAAGAATCAATTCCGGTCATTAATCATTAGTATTAATAAGACTTTCATTAATCATTAACTTCGAAAGCATTTAAATATTAACTGCCTTCACCGCTTTCTGTAATGTAGAAATTCACTGGCATCTGGTCGTAACCTCTGGAAAGACAGGACACCAATATGTCATTTTTATGGGAATTTTGAGTTTAAATTGATCAATTATTCTTAGTCATTTCAATTTAACAAATAGGAATACAATTTATTTATTCATTGGATCAGAAAATATTCTATTGTGATTCTTTTATTTGTTGAATTTTATTTTTTTGTTTAGCCTATTTTAAAATGTTTTATTGCTAAATGTGAATAGAATATTAAGTGATATCTAGGACTTACACTCATACAAAATATTCGAATTGCACGATAATGTATATAAATTGCGATTTTACTTAAAAACTATTAATCTATGTTAGATATAATTTATGATTATTGATTATTAGGCTACACCAAAAATAAAAATATGTTTATTACGGGTACTCTAAATCATTCTATTCTTTATTAGATATTAGAGAACTGTGCTTATTAAAAATAGGGTTATCAAAATTTTGATACAATTTACAATAACTCTAAAAATATTTTAATTGTTTTCGTTATATCTGTTTTCCCTGCTTACTCTTACTTGTGTCTGGCCATCAAGATTTTTTTCATTCATATCCATCACTCCTAATAAAACGAATTGATAGAAAGTGATGGGATATTCCAAGAAATTTCCGATTGTATTTCAATATTGTTATATGAAATGATTTCAAAAACGTATGAACGTACTTTACACTCAGATCCACCAGTGATCAAAGAGATAAAACCGTTTAAACTGCTAGGTCATGGGTTTACGCCTAACCAACGGCCGGCCACGTGGAGTTTTCCGGATTTTCTTCACGTGCCTAACACCTAAATAAGGACAAGTTTCCCATAGAAAGTCCTCCCGGGAGGCACCACCTTGGTAGGTTGCCAATGTCTCATCCTATCAAACCCAAATCAAGCGATAACAGTTAATGCTTTAGTTTCGAGAAGAAACAAACTTTATTCAAAATATATAACCTACAGCAGCCATTGATATTTTGACTTTAAAACTTTTTAAATTTAGAACCGCGTTCATTTTATGCCTTTTAAGATGAATTTATGTAAATATTTCAAATTCTTTTGCTAAGGAAATCTTTCAAATGTAACGATTGGAGAAAATACTAAATCTATATAAAATTTAAAATACTGTAGGCCTATATCTGATCTCTGCATGATTAATAATAATTTATTTTTTATAAAGAAAAGTTTCGAAATATATTTTGAATTTAATTGTGAAAAGTAACTTCAATGAATGCTTTTCCTGTCAAGTATCTAATCTAAAATTAATTAATGTAAAATAATTAAAATTTTCAAATATATTTTCAAATAAATACGCCTAATTTTATTCTAAACTCTACAAATTGATAAGACCTCTCAATCTATTTTATTTAAATCAATTATAGTAAAAGTCCGATATACATAATATAGGCTCTATATAACGAGTCTTATTTAAAATTGACTTAAACCAACTCTGTTAAATTTGATTTTATTTCACTTATAGGCCAAAAATGAAAATCAGGACCTTCAGGCCTCATATGATCATCTGTGGCTTCTAGACAGCATATAAAATATAAAATGGTAGAGATTTAATTTTGCATTCATAAATTTTTAAGTTATGAAAGTCTACTTTCTGTTCTTTTTTAATAATATGCTAAATATTATGTGCGTGTATGCTGAATGAATACCCTTATAGAACCTGCTATACAGTATACGGCCTTGTAGAATCTCTCTGAAATGAAATGCGTGCAGCCTTCCGATTACAAAATATTTCTCACCTCTGTCATGCCTGTGGTTTACGTGGATGATGGCAGGTCTGTATAATTTGTATTGGGATAATTATTCTTTAAAGAGGTTTATATCGGAATTGTAGAAAATGCTAAATAATTCAATTCATTAGTTTCTCACACTAAAGTTTCACTAATTAATTAATAAGAACGAATACGATTCTTACGTAAGCCCATTGAAATGGTAACACGAAGCAGACTTAATA